CGGAATGTGTCAGTTCTCTATGGGTCAAAGGAACTTAATAAGTCGACGGCGTAAGTAAGTAAGCCTTAGAAGCAGGCGCACCTGTCCAATGCTGTCAAGCGCATTTATGACGTCCGATATAACCTCAATCATATCTCCATGAAGTCTAACTGTCACTTAGAGCATATTAGGTCATATGTAAGTCACCACACTCACGGTAGTAAATATAACGGCCGAGGGTTACGAAAAGTTTATTTAAGCCCATGCAGGCTTAAGCAGTTAATATGCCAAGTATTAACTGTACTCTGTGTCCTAATATACACGCTGTTGGGATATTCTTGGAGATAGTGAGTACTAGCAGGTGAACATAAAAAAAGATGTTGTGGCCCTTCTATATAAAAAGATCTGCTGTGAGGAAAAAATTGGCTATCTGATGTGGGGCACTGAATCAGCGTTTCTACCTTGGCTTCTTTAGCGCTGAACTATAATATGGCCATAACGGGTCCAGTTATATGCATATGAAGGGTTTCAAATCATATTTATGAACTTATGCGCTTATTCTTCATATTCGGATCACTACCTATTTTCTTATAAGGTGATTGCAGATCTCCTTAAACTCCATGGCAAGAGTCAAGTTGTTTTTCCTGCCATTCGTAGGCGTTTTATTCTACTTTTCATCTTCCTTTCTCTTCAATCAGCCTTGACCGAGAGCTTTTCTCATCTTGGATAACATCTGCGTCGACTTCTTGCTTGCGACTCTTTTCTATACTCCTCCTCGTCCTTTTTTTTACGACCTTGGCCCTGGTTTCATGGAAATGGAAGATCTGGAAAAGCACCGATCGTCCAGCCTCTCCCCAACCGAGTATACAAAGAAACCCACACCATCGCTCCAGGAAGACAATACACCTGCTCATGAAGCAGCCAGCCTGTGGGACAGCGAGACCAAACGCTTCCCAGAAACAGACCTACATCGTGGGATTGTCGGATGGGACGGACAAAATGACCCTGCGAACCCCCAGAATTTCTCCGCGGGCCAAAAATGGGTTTTACTGGCACTCATGAGCTCTATCACCTTTCTTTCACCACTTGCGTCGAGCATGTTCGCCCCTGCCGCTAGCTATGTGGCTGTTGACCTGGGAATCACGAATGAGACGTTACTTTCCTTCAGTGTTACAATCTTTCTATTGGGCTACACGGTGAGAATCCGTCTGATTGATATCTGGCTGAGGAGCACACAGAATAGGAGACTAACGAGAAAGTCATAGTTCGGTCCCCTAATTCTCGCACCCTTGAGCGAGATTTATGGCCGAAGAATAGTGCTCAGCTTCGCCAACTGGTTCTTCGTCGTCTGGCTAATCGGATGTGCCCTGGCCCCCAACATTGAGTCTCTCATTGTGTTTCGACTCTTATCCGGAATAGGTGGTTGCGGCTGCATTACCCTTGGGGCAGGTCTCATTGCTGATCTGTTCCCTGTCGAGCAACGCGGGATGGCAACATCGATCTGGAGCTTGGGTCCGCTGATAGGCCCTGTCGCCGGGCCTATCTGTGGTGGTTTCATAGGTGAAGCAATCGGTTGGCGCTGGATCTTCTGGATTCTACTGATTGCAAGTGGAGTCATCTCATTCGGAATCGAGTGTCTGAACCGTGAGACGTATGCTCCCGTGCTTATACGGTGGAAGACAGCCAAACTGGCCAAAGAGCTGGGTCGTACAGATTTGCGCAGTGCATACGAACCGGACAGCCAAGGCGTATCAGTGGCGTCGACCCTGAAGTTGGGCCTTATGCGACCTTTGCAGCTATTCTTCAAGTCGCCTATCGTTTATCTGCTTTCAATCTACATGTCTCTCACCTACGCCCTCTTATATCTATTTTTCACCACCATACCCGCAGTTTTCCAGATGCAATACAGGTTCAGTACGGGCCTCTCTGGTCTCGCCTACCTAGGCATTGGCATTGGTTTCTTCATTGGCCTCGCGCTCATCGCTTTCACAAACGACAAGATCTTGATGAAAATGACAGTAAAGAACGGAGGCAAGTCCGAGCCTGAGATGCGCTTACCCACGATGATCTTCTTTTCCTGCTTTTTGCCCGTGAGCTTCTTCTGGTACGGATGGTCGGCAGCCAAGCAGGTGCATTGGATCGTGCCTATCATCGGCATGTGCCCGTTTGGCATCTCGATGATGGGCTTGTTCATGCCAATCCAGACGTATATCATCGATTGCTATCCTGCGTATGCGGCTTCCGCGAATGCCACCTTGACTGCTACACGATCATTAGTGGGTGCGTTGGTGCCCCTTGCCGGGCCTAGTATGTTTCACAGTCTAGGCCTGGGCTGGGGAAATTCGTTGCTGGGATTTATTGCTCTAGCTTTTGTGCCGATCCCTATTCTCTTCACTAGATATGGCAAGGCTATTCGGGAGAAGTTTCCAGTCAATTTTGATGGGGGGAAAGCTTAAGAGGGGATTAACTAATGCTTGCTGGCTCTTCGGATTGACTGTGAATTGCATAGAATATAGGGAGGACACGAGTGGCTGGTTTGGTTCTTGTCCTTAATTTCAACGGATCGCATATAGAGACATAATTTTATGTTCAAATCACAGTCGAAAAAACCAGTCGTCGATCCGGAAAGCAAGTAGTCAAAGGATTGCCATGCACAATCATTTATGCGCGCATAAATCTATTCATTATTCACGGCCTAATGCGCCCAGAAATCTAGGTTCATATAACTCCGTAACCACGCTCCTTCAAGTGTTTTAACCTTCCCATCTCATTTTCTCAGCATATGCTCAAAATGGTCTTAGGCTCATTAAACGATCATAATGGTATCAAACCGCCATAACGCCTCATTATCTTCCTCAGAAAAGAAACGTCTCCGAGACAGGAGAGCTCAAGAAAACCTTCGAAAGAAACGGGAGAATCGTATCAAATACCTCGAAGAACGGGTGGAATTTTGTGAGACGCATCATAGAGCTTCATTAATGCAGCAGCTGCTTACGGCTGTCGATAGCCTTCGTCGGGAAAATGAGTTGCTGCGAGCTCGACAGGACCGATTGCGGAACATGATTGCGTCCTGGGATGCAGATGAGACTGGAGTAGCCTCTTCGGTGACAGCCCAGCAACTGCGACAGTTGGAGAATGTAGGGCCTGACACCAATCCAAGGACGGCATGCCAGTGCGATCAGGCGGAAAAGGGATTAGCAGCGACTCCAATTTCAGTTGCCAACGTCGAGTTATCAGGACTAAATGCTCAGGCTGAGATCTTCACTCGAACGACAGGACTGACTCTGGAGTATGCTGGGACTGAACCTGGACTTGGTCATCTGGACAGCGTACAAGATGTTGCAGCCGGTGGACCAAACATACTCCCTTCTATTCAACTGCCCGAATTGCCTCAGTCTTCCGCTATCCAGGCTCTGCCTAGCACTGTTCCTGCTTGGTGCCTGGTCCCAATGAACAAGTACGGACATGATCCGTCCTTGGTGCCAGCCACATCGCCATGGCTCACCCGTCCGGACCTCGTCATTGCTTGTCCGCCCGTCCCAGCCCCATTGGACCTCCTCCACGGGACTCGGCGCAACTACTTGGCCAACGAGATTCACCGTGCGATTCGGCGGCGGGCGATCCGCGATGCGGAGTGTGTCGCACTGGGCTGGCTGAGTTATGTCTACGGCAAATGGCGCGTCTCTCCCAACCCCGCGACATTTGCGCGCCTGGCAGCTTTCCAACAACCAGTCATGACGCAGATCCAGCAGGGTCACCCGACAGCATTGGATTTGATAATTTGGCCGCAGCTGAGGGTCAATATCATCAGGAATTGGACCAAGTACGACTTCACCGAACTCACGGGCTATCTGAGCTGTTGCACCAAAGTGCGCTGGCCGTGGGGTAAGGATATGCTGGAGCGTGATGCGGATGATAACCTGCAGATTCGTCAGGAGTTTTTCGAAGTGTTCACCCGTGAGAGCGGATGGGGCTTGACATCGGAGTTTCTGGACAAATACCCGGAGCTGATGGAAGGGCTGGATGTCGAGGCTTTACGGTTTCGGATGATCCTTCCTAGCGAGGTAGAGTGATCAGCTGTGCCACGTTCGGATTTCGGAGAACTCCTGCTCCCAAGAGCCCGAAGCTTGGCCAGATCACGCTGTGCGTATACTAGAGCTCAAGCTCAACCAATGGCAACTTCATCGTTCATGATAGACAAGTCAGTCGCTTGTCAAAGGGCTCTCATTGCCTTCTTGACCAGAGTAATAAATGTCAAGCTTCTTGAGCATTATGTCCTCCCTCTCACAATGAGCACGTTCCAGCAGTCACAACGGCTCGATATGTGGTTCTTCCTCAGCGTCGCAGATAAGTTGTGACAAGTATTCATAAAGATGAAAATAGTGAGGAAATTCATGTTCAGTCTTCTTCATGCCAGAACGAGAGCTTGGTCTGGGGTGCATATCTCCAATTTCGAGTGAATAAACCGTCAGTGGTCCTCACTCTTCTCTGGACCATATCTAGGTCCCATAGCTGGGTGTAGGAGAACTTACCCCGGACACGGTCTATTGCAAGGACATTAGCATGCTCTGTCGTAGCCTGGCAGTTCCCTTGTGAATGAGCTAGAAGCAGCTCCCACAAACAAACATAAATCATCTACCTACCACTCAGCCTTGACGATTGACTTTCTTCTCATTGACTTACCTGACTCTTTCCTCACATTATGCTTTACTTTCTCCCAACTACTTTCTTATTTTGCCAGATTCCGGTCATTGAAGGATATTGGCGTTTCCCTTTCGTTGCCTGACAGCTCTCTGCTGACTGAACTAAGACTCATTGCCTCCTGGTGTTCCCAGGGGGGTGAGCAGGAAGCAATTTTCACAACTCAAACACAAGACATCTCTGCACAACTTTGAATCCCAAACTTCTAAATCTTGCTTAGCTTACTCCTCACTCTCACCTTCATTCCCTCCCGTTCTTCTTGTTCCATTTTGCCACTCCACCTACAGTCTACGGACAGGTACTTCTCTCATCTTCCCTCAATGAGCGGGGCCGCCTCCATGGACGAGGCGGTTCGCGAGCTGCAGGTGAAGCAGTACGAGCTTTCCAAAACGTTTGTAAGCCTGAAAAAGCTGGGACTAGAAGGCGACTGCAAAATGCCCCCAGCTCCTTACCATCGGGATGCAGTCTTCGGGGGAAGAGCTCTGTCTTGGAGAGAATTTCTCGCGTCCGTCTCTCAACGGACAACGCGCGTTCCGTGACAGAGATTATGCTGCACCGACGACTCGCACCTGACGCGAAGATCACATATGAATCTCTCTCATTAGATAGTGGACAGGAAACTCTTTTCACCAGCGATGTCAAGCCAGAAGAGGTCGCTGTTAACAATTTGTATCCAGTGTTTGGAAAGATTCACAAGGACTCCTTGAAGTAGAAGGCCAACGTGACACGGAAAGGCTATGTGCTTAAAGTCGAGATTGACGGTTCTAAGTATCCTGACATGACCTTGATCGAGCTTCCAGGACTTCGCATCCCTGACAAAGACGAAAGCTCAGAGGAGGATACTTTCGTTCACGTCCTTGCTGAGAAGTACATGAAGAATAATGCCAGTCTTATCCTCGCTGTCGTCAGAGCGAAGATTGGTTGCTAACAACAAGAAGAGGTTCTAAAGTTGGCTGAGCGTTTTGATCCCACCCACGAAAGAACTATTGGGATGACGTAGACCTCATCAATGAATTAGGGCAGAGGAAGCTGCTGTTGAGCTACGGTGATTTCATAGTCCAGATTGTAAAGTCGAGAGTGTATACGTTCCCTACCCGCAGATGCGCGTGCTAAACGAGCGATTGTGACTCGCAAAGATCGATGCACAAAGTGGTTTCGTGAGAGGCAACGAGCAAGGTAGACTAATACCTGATCTTGCCCAGGGAGGGGTTCCAGGGGGTAAACTACCCTTGAAGAGCAAGTGATCATGAGGAACAATGTTCTCAAGGGCGAAGCCGCTCACCCCTTCTGGTTGACCTTCCAGATTGGCAAGAAGATGAAGCTATTCGCAACTACCACAGTAGTAACCGCAGGCGCCCTGCGGTGTTGAAAGACGGTAGGACATCTTGATAAAAAGCTGACGAGCTCACGGATATAGACTGCAAGTAAGCAAAGAGGAGCAGTAAAGCAGTGAATGTATAGATGCTTAGACAATGTCATTCACTGTAGGAAAGAGCAGCTGTGCTCATTCACATTATGCTGGCAGGTAAATTGATACCTGATATTTGTACTTCAACACAGAATAACCTCACCCTGGGCTCTATATGTGTTTCTCTTCTCTCCTTATCTTACAAAAACGATGACCACCCATGAAGGGGTCCGGAGATTCATCTTTGTCCAGTTGGTGTAACAAAACTCGACCACGATGTGGCCCAGATATCAGGTAGATCCTTGCGCCGCGTTGGATCGCGAAGGTTTCTGTTTCTGGATGACCTTCAGCTTCATCTGCGGTCGGTGTGGGGTCTTTGTGAGTGGCTTCATCATGATTCTGTTCAAGACTCACGCGGACATCGCAAAATCCTGGCTGGAGGATGGATTTGCAAGCGAGTTCGGCAACTTGAGATTATGTTACGACGTCCCTGAAGCCGAATCAACCCAGAACGTCCTTCCCGGAGGCTGGCAGTGGCCTCGCAGCCGGATGGCTCGCCAAAGGGGTGTCACTCTGGGTCCGAAGATTCGCTTTCCAAATGACCAGAATGGCATTCCTGTGCCCACCCATGCCTTCGTGACTTTCAGAACCATCACCACCTCGCCTATGCTTCGAATTGCAAACTGGTACGCACAAATTAAAAGGAAGCTGGCTAGATTGCACCCATCAGAAGAGGCTCGGATGAGCCAGCCGTTGGGACACCCCGGCATCAACCAACGAGTAATTCGCCCTTAGGAAAAGTGGTCTTCAGTATATTAAATAGACTTACTTTAGCACAGCTAATCAGGCGAAGCTTTCACCTAAAAACCTTAACAACTGGCCACTCTTGCTGGGTGCGAACAGATACCTTACCAGAGTGGAAAAGTGGTCTTCCTTGCTGAGAGCTCACAAAAGGTACGTGTGTTGAAGGAACTTTGTCTGCTCTCATCCATGATGATCTGTATCACTCACTATGTATGTGCGAGCGATAGTGGTTCAGCTACTAGGACGTTCTCGATGGCCAGCTAGTTTTTGTCATAGGCAATGTTATCCCAAGGTGGATATGGACTTTCGGAGAGAGCGCAGAGAGCAGTTCTCGAGGGGTCCCAGTTGGGAAAGAGAGGCCCTATCCCAAAATGTCTCTATCATGTGGAGGACGGAGGACCTTGCTGTTTGTTTCCCGAATTCGCTGTACTCTCGAGCATAACCATGGTGGCCCGCTACCAGAATACCCCAGCAGGCCCCGGATCAAAGGGGGTTTCATGTTGCCAGCAGACGTCAGAGCATCCCGGATTTCAGATGAGCCAGAGACCTCAGCTGCCCCTGGGCCTTACCACACCAGGGAGAGCGCTACAACTGAACTCAGAAGGTCGTTTTCCTCCCATCCTTAACGATGTATGGATACGCAGCAGTTAGTGGCTCAGATTCACAAATAGTACAACCTGAATTAGCCGCCGCATCTCGCACAACGCGATCCTAGGGTGTCCTATCTCTTTTTTAGTCCAATTTCACTTCTACTGGTAGTGCAAGACCAAGTTTGGGCCCGAGTGCGAGCTAGGTAAAGTGTTATCTCCAGACTTTGGTGCGGTTGTGCAGAGGCGACATACAACCGGTCACTGCTAGGCTATGTATGTTAGTTATGGCCTGCATCCCTGCCTTGGGCACGCTCGGAGATTTTGACACTCTATGTGGGGAGGTTCACGACTAGGCTACATACGACTACACATGCCCAGAATCGCGGGGAGGAAAACCCACGCGCAAGAAAGAGATTTCAGCAGTGGGTCGCAGAAGCAGCCGGTGCCAGCCACAAAAGCGACCCGAGGTCCTTTGTCCCGTCCGCGTACCCCTCTATGGTTGGAGCCAAGCAAGTGTAGTAGAGGAGCTGCACTAAGTACTCCGTAGCTCGTAGTTGCTGAGAGCGCGTAAACATGAGAAAGGTAGAGAAGTAAAGAAGGAATAGAATACAAGGAGAGCTCGATTGACAAGGAGGAGCGAATATGACGCCAACGGACATAATGGGCGCCAAGCCAGTGGATGCCTTAATTCCGCCGAAGAGGGCAAAAGGGCAAGGTTGAAAGGATTCTTTCTTGGCTACGGTCATGCCAACAAAAAAAGTAATCACCAGACCCCTGCGCGAAATTTTACCTTTGCCACGATTTTAAGATCAGCATTTCCATCTCCAACTTTGTTCTTTTGTTAAAGAGCCTATTCTTCCCCACGAGCAGTCAATCCAAGCCCTCGACAACGAAAAAAAGGTCTTCCTCGCTTCCCCTCGGTCTCCAAGGACAGACCGCCTGCCCTCCTCAATTCCGCCGGGCTTCCTCATCACTCTCGCTCGCTGCTCGTTCCCAATCGCGCGATCGCAAATCCATAACATCAATCGCAATGGCTGGTCGAAACGTTTCTCACGGCCGTGGAGGCGCAGGTAAGAGACCTGATTGATTGTCTGCCGTTGCAGCGCACATCTCCTCTTCCCAGTTGAACTTGAGCTAACATCCACCCTTTTCCCCCTCACCAGGAAACATCTACTCCACCGCAAACCCCACCTCAGCAAAGGATCTCATCACCCCGACAATCAAACAAGACACCTTCACAACCGGTCGCGGCGGCTCAGGCAATATGGTCCAGTATGACCCGGAGCGCCCGGAAATCGCGCGCGAGCTGCAGGATGTAGAATCGCCGCCGCAACGGGTGGAGGAAGCCCCGCACCACACGGGCCGGGGTAGGTTTTGGCCTTTCTTTTCGTCTGCGCGTTGACGGCATGGTTGAGCTAACCGGTGGTTGTTCTAGGTGGTGCTGCGAATGCGTACGTCCCGTCTCCCGAGGAAGAGAAGAAGGTCCGCGAGCGGGAAGAGGAGAATCTGCAACGGGTTCGGACCGCATCGAGGGATCGGTTGAAGGATGTCAAACAGGCTAGTGAGAAGCGCTCGGGTTCCTCATCTTCGCGGTGATATATTTATAAGGTTGTCTTTGAAGTTCTCACGGTTTTGGATTCATCGTGGGAAGTGGGATGCTGTCAACAGCTGGCCTCCCAGAATGCTCAACGAACTTATCTCATACTTGGAGAGAATGATAAAGTACTGCTGGCGGTGCTTGATGTCCCACCCGAATGACTGGGAACTGCGTTTGGGCAGGATTGTTCTGAAATTTGAATTCTGCTCGGATGTCATCTTTTGCTCTTCCTGTTCGGTCGGTGTTTTCTTTTCTTCACTTCTCTTCTTTCTCCATCTTTTTTACTTCTATGTTCTTGTAATTGGATAATACCCTTGTCTGAAAATCAAAATTTGAATGACGAAGCGCAGTTCTTTTCCTGAGTTGGATTGTGCCAGTACGGAATGGATTCACTCGAGCTGCTTCATCTTTGGTGAGATGGCGGAATGTTGGGCGGTCTTTTCCTGTCTATATATCGCCTGAGACTATCTCAGCATTAATACACACTGGAGGCGCTAGTATGAGCTCCAATAGAACCCCGGATGCTTATCAACATACTTCGTTGCTTTTTCCGCACTATTTACCAATGAGATTCTGAATTCTTCCACATAACTCTCTATTTGATTTCAATGTAATTATCCACTTTGCTAGACCTGGTAGCTGCTCATTATCGTGGATATGTTGAGGATGCGATTAAGTTAAGCCAGTATCGGCTGGTACCTATGTAAATAACAAATGGCCGGAGATCGGACCAATTCTCCGGGCACTGGTATCACGGGGGATGCAACCTAAGCACCAGACATTAGGTGCCAAATATGTCGACGCAATTCCTTATGGTCTGTGGAATGACCCAAGGACACCACAATAGTCGCAGAGTGTCGACTATGAGTGGCGCGAATGCGAGCTCGGCCCTGATCTCTCATCGCTACCAGGGGATTCTCGTCGGACACTGCCAGTAAGACTGGGCTTCGACGGCGGAGTAGGTTTGGGGCGTTACAGTGTCTTAAGACACTCACTAGGACGGAAGTGACGGCGATCGTGACGTGCATAACAGAATCCTTGCTGCAGTCAAGTTGGTGAAATATGACAGCCTGTAGCATCTAATACCCAACTAATAGATTGTCGCCATTGAGAGTCCAGGAGTCGACCTATTTGTTGGATGATTCGTGCACCCCATTCACCCATCCACCAGCGGCTTCTCATAAAATGGAGGACCACAGCATAATGAGCCAGGATGACCAGAGCGAACGGATATCGCTCATGCACTAGGTCTATGAACCTCGGCGGAATGTGGTACATCCACTGGAACGCCACGATTGAAGCTTCCCTGCCTTGCGCAAGTTTTTCTAGAGTCTCCCCCAACTGTCTGATTGTTGCCTCAAACATCTCTCTTTCGTGCTTCGGGTTCCGGTTGGCCAGCTGTGAGTTCGTCATTGATAACGACATGATAGCAAGCCGCGAAGTGTCGGGCATCTTGGGGCCACATTCGTCCTTTTCAAGCAACGGCTTCAACTCGCCGCTCTTAACTTGGTCAGCGATCTGGGCCAGAACATTCATGGAGTTCCTTGCAACTTGGAAAGCCTGGCAAAGATCATCCAGCGCCGTGTTTGTCTGGCCGTGTCCGGCAATCAGAGGAAAGGCCAGGGAAGATATGGTCGTGAGGCTGCATAAAGCAAAGGCTGCATTGCAATTTGAATGGTCGATATTTGCGAATGTCTCTTTGAAATTTGACAGAGCCATGTCTTTATGGGTCTTTGCCGTTTTAATATATCGTTCGTGCATGCTTCCTCCTGTTGAGGAAGCCAGATGCAATGCGGACAGCGCGAGAATACCATGCATCAGGGCCGGATGCTGCATAGCTTCACGTGGAATGACAGTCTGCCAGATACTCTCAACATCGCTATTATGAGACATTGAACGATATGTCTTAGTACACCACTGCATCATCAACTCCAAATCGTGGACGTTGAGGTTGTCTTTGGCACCATTGCGACCAGTGGGACTCATCTGACTCTGAGACTTAGCGACGCAAGTCAAAACAGGGATAGATGGTAATGAGTCCATTGACGATCGATTCTGTGCCGATGTAGAGCGTGAATATTTCCAGGATGGCATATAGTGGCATATTATATCCCGCTTAATGCAATGAGAACATCGCGGATGCTTCTTCCCACACTGTCCGAGTCAGTTAAAACCGAGGAAAGACCAATGGGATGAGGAATCAAGATGAAATAGATCCATAAACAAAGGAAGAAAAAGCCCCATCCGAACACAGACATTTTCCAAGGCACCGGAGGCTCTCAGCATCCCTGTCATGGTCATGTACACGATGTTGTCCGGTGAGCTAAGAGCCATCATCGACAAGAATAGAAACACCATTGGTCTTGGAAGTCGGAACAACAACGCCATCATGCATCGCACATACCTTGACCCGTCGGCTCCTGCATTGAATACAGCCATGACCCCGGCGCAGAGAGTTCCTAGCACTTATTGTCGGAGGCATCGCGCAAGCCAGCTCCGTCGTCTGAGCCACTCACACTTCTCTAATGATTGAGGCTCCAGAGCTCGATATAATTCCCCGGTGAATCGCCTCCACAATTGTCTTGTGACCAAAGAGCGTCAGGGATGTCCTCGAATCTACCCACCAACGCTTCGGAGGCACCGGTGCTGGGGTGTGGTATTTAGTCTATTTTGACTTAGGAGCCGGAAGCACGAGTTAGACCCTGTCAACGGGCTAAGGAACGGATTTTCAAGCTCAGTGGGTCTGAGATCGATCGCCGTCTCAACAGTTACCAAAACTGATACTCCTCTGCGACGCTCTGGGTGACAGAATGAGTAAATGCTTCCCTACACTGTACATGTCGCTGCACCGGCTGCGCTCGGATTTACCGGACCCTGGATGGACAGATACATGCATCATGCACTCAATCGTGAGTCCTGGCAGAGATTGGCATTTACCGTTGCAGGGCGAGTCCCGTGAGTCGAACCACATTGTCCGTACTAGGAAAGAGGTGGACAACTTTTGAATGGAAGGAGTTGGTTAGGAATCTCAGGAGCCTACTCCGTACTTCCCCCCTTGACACCTATGATTAACAACATTACAGATCTGTGTCCTAGCCGAGCCCTTGCTAGCAACAACGAATAAAGACACAACAGACAATGATGCAGTCGATTCTCACGAAAGCAGGATTGCAGATCGGATTGAACTATTAAACAATTATCGAATATATCGATCATCGGAGCTGAATATCTACTATCGCCAATCGGCTACCTCCGACTTGCCCCTTAAAAACGATTCCTCGAAGACCGAAAAATTTCCCTCATCCATACGTTTGCACCTTATTTAATCATGATACGCATGATGCTTCTACTAGTCAACGCAACTATCGACTCGTATATCATTGGGTGATCGTCACATACATCCCTGTTCCTCGTCATGCCATCTTGGGACAATCCACTTGCAACTCCACTTGTTCGTTGTTCCACTGGCCGCACCTAGAACCCAAAGATACCAATCCGGCGGGCTCTCCACCTTGGCGCTATCCTTATCGGAGTTTGGATCCAAACTTGCTTTTACCCTTTCGGGTAATTAGTACTCTTGGTCTCCCTTGATCTACCATCATTGGATCATCGTTTCTAAGTAGTGCTCTGAGCCTCTGAGCCTCTGACTTGTTCGCGTACGGCGGTGTGAATTTGTCCATTTAAACAAACACAACACTGTCAGTAGGGAGTCGCAATCCTGATTGATTCGACTGTTCAGTGCTGAGTATGCTCACGTCGAAGCGAGCTAACCTGACTATGTCAGGAACTACCAATTCGCATACGACCAAGGTTGGACATGGTGGATTATTATGCAGAGTCCCTTCCACAACATCAACGCACACCTTCAGCTTCAGACACGCTCCGCACCCTGTTCGACCATCTTCCAGAAAGCACATGCGACGGCTTTTGAGCCAAGAAATATGACGAAAGCCTCAGACATTCCGCCGTTTACTATTTATCATTGAAGTCTATATGGGAGCTCTCGCACCAATAAGGCCAACAACTAGCAACTCGAATTAATATAGTTGTCTCCATCGATGGCTTCACCCACGACCACCATCCCTGTCATTCTTGATCTGTTGGGGCCAATACTGAGTTTTCGGGACAACTAAAAATGCAAGGCCACCTAAGCTTGGAGCTTACCAACCTTGAAACTCCGTCGCATTCGCCGAAGGGAAAAGCGACAGCCTTCTATGCACTGTCTGTGGCGCCATGTATTGTCCAAGTTGCGACGACAATTGGTGATATATTCCTACAGCTGTCGTGTTCGCGTAGGCTCCTCTGAGACTATTCCTCAGGAGGGAAAAGGACAGTTTCCGTTCATGTATTTCCGGTCCACAGGCACATGCCTTTACTCATTGCTCAGTCTCAGGCTCTTGCGAGCGGTGTTGGACAATCCCTCTATTTCCCCGAAGGAGCATCACCGGCCAGACCAGTAACTATTTGTAGTAAGAATGATCCAGGCTAAGTATGCGTCTAAGAAATACGGTGTCGTGCGGGATTTGCTTTCGGCTAATAAGGCGCTCTCGAAACTATCGTGAACTAACCCTTTAGACATTTGTTTCCTTGAAAGAGATAATGGGCACAATAGAACGAGGGAGTGACAATGGCCGTTTTGGGTATCTGTCTGTCAATGAACGCCGATCTCAGACAAGCAACAACTTAATCATGGACTAAGTCTCTATCTAAGGTTGATTAGACTTATCGATAGCGCTCTCGTCTGAATCATATAGTCTGGCAAACGAGCGATTTTGACTCCAGAGGAATGTATTATGCGCCAAACTTAACAGAATTTCCAACTGCGTATGTGTTTTCGCCATTTCCTGGATTACCTGTGAAATTCACTGCACGAATTTTCCGATCTATTCGTTGTTTTCGGTTTCCAGCCTTCTAATAGCGGCTCTCTAGGGAAAGCGTTAGCCTAACTTACCCCTGAACTCCTTCTGGCCCAGCCCGCCTGTTCGAGAACCTTCGACGTCCGTTCCGTCGGTCGTTATTGACGGTCAAGGGCAAGAAGAGTCTTCGCGAGGTGCCGCTCTCGCAAAAGGGATTGCAAGAGCTGTGGTGATATGATACAATGAAGCGTCTCGTGTGGTGAGCATCGGGGCCACCGAGCCTTAAACTCAGACCAGCTAATCTCAAAGCAGATACCTCTTTTGACCTTGATTGCTGAGAACTTAACCGTGCTGATAACTAAGCCTTGCAAATATTAGGATATAACCCCTCGGTCAAAGAGTCACCGGTTTATTCGAAAAGCTCATAGGCCTCCGCTTTGTCACAAGCATGGGAAGAGTTCCGGTCTTCGTCCAAGGCTGGGCTCTGGGTAGTGGTCAGTTAGAGCACCAAGAAGCTCGCAAGGCGACCTAATGTTCGACGCCCCGTTTGGACATACATACCTAGGGCGAAAGCCTCTGAAGATCTTAAAATTTAGCACTCTAGTCGACGTTGCACAGGGACCCTCTGAGCCACCGAAATGGTCTTGAGCTCGGCCAGTTCTTGTGATGAGCCGCGAAGATTGAGGTCTATGAAACCCAATACTTGGGAGACGACATGCTCAGGGGACATGTCAACAGACTTCTTTTTCATTGCCACAACCATGGATATGCCAAATGAGAAACTGTCAACCCGCCACGAATCTTTCTCGTCGATCACGAATCGACCAGTCATACCGCAGCCATGTTCCCAATGCCTCTTCTTGTAGGCGAGGCCAGAGTTGCGGCATGCCTTGCCCGATATTCCATGACATGCGATAGGACGCCACTCCGGGTATTCCAGTTTCTCCAACTAGGCATCACCAGCTTGACGAGTGACGAAGTCCAGCATTGCTTGGTATAATTTAACTCTCACCGGAAGAGGGAGGAGAATATACCAAGAGGCTTAACGTTGTTGTACTGGTACTGCGCTGATTTGCGAGTCTTTGGACTAGGCTCGTATTGCGCACCTGTGTCGAGACCTTCTACATCTCCTCGACCTCCTCGTCGACCGCGAAAGCGCAGAGCAGATGGGTCGACAAGACGTTGAATCTCTCATCTCGAAAGCCGCCAGGAGCAGACTACCGGTCAATACGAATTTTGGCAAATGAGAATCTTCTTGACGTGAATTGCGTTCGACTCGATGATGAACACGTCATCGCGGCGTCTGATTCTGTCGGGAGCTGGAAGTACGTCATTTGGTGATGTCTCTGTGACTGGTCGCCGGAAAGATGAAACGCGTTGCATCTCTCAAGTCGGTGTTTGCTTTATAGAAGTGATTGACCGCAAGAGTAATTGCTATCTGGCAACCACTGATGATAGGAGCTGCCTGAGACCATGATGAGCTGTTTCCTTTTTGGGAAGGCGCTATAATCTTCAGTTGGCATCGACGCGGGGTATATGGCCTCAGGCAACCATGTCTCTCGAGCCCAGAAAAGGACGAATGTGATGAGAATTCAAAGAGCCAGTTGATTGTCTCCAATATCTAGGTAATGGGGTGATCTCAAGAAACCTGCGGGAGTACTTAGGTAGTAATCTAATTGAATAGAAATGGTACCATTTTCTATATTCTCTATATACTGCGACACTCTCCACCACAGCCGCTTGTCGATTAGCATTTCGTATAGTAGAATTACGGTACCCTCGTCGTGCTCAAAGCTAGACTCTCAGGTGTCTGCTGCTAGAGGTCCATGACGAAGTAGAACGAAGTGGGCAGTGTGATTTGGGTTACACCATGAGGCATAAAACATCCTATATGAGTGGAGATATCACCAACATACTGCAAGCCAACCGAAACAGTCACCTGCAGCATCTAGTGACACTCTCGAAGACGAAAGAGGTAGATCTTAATGACCCGTATTTGTTGTCGGGATTTGCTTCAGTCGCGCGCAAGCTCGCCATCCTAGAGAGTGCTTTTTATTGCTGCATGAGATCACATTGATGGGCATTCATCTGCTGATAATCTGACCAAAAAAGGACAGGTGCATCTTGGGCCGCAAAGAATATGCCAACAGTCGATCTTGCAGCCAGGCGTCAGGCTTGATAGTTTTT